TGAGATCAAAAGACAAAATCTGAAAAATGGTTTCATAATGAAATTTTATTTTTTTGTTAGATATTTTGTCAAGATATATTTATCACTGGAGATTAAGATTTTTCTATGTACCTTCAGGACTAATGTTAGATTTAACGTAATAGAAAGATATGGTATTTATAACGAATGTTTTATAGAGCCATACCTTTAAAAATAACTGTATTTGTAAATGCCATTAAATTTTTTTCTCATAATTAAAAAAAAAAAACTTAAAAAAAAAGAAGAAATGACTGTGACAATGAAGTCTTGTTTTTTTTTTTTTAAATCATTTCACCCCCAAAAAGGCAATAAAGCCACTAGGACACAAGAGGTTACAGAGTATTAGACAAATAAAAATTACTATTGAAAGGACAATAAAAAAAATATGAATTAAGATAGAGGGTAACGATTGACATCGCAGTTCAGTTTTTGAAGATCAAAATTGACTCGGAAGCAAGAAGCCGGAAGAGAGTTCCTCAACTGATTGAAGAAACTGTTAGCATAGAACGTACGGTTATATCTAAACATTTCCACTTTAAATTGATGAGACCTTTCCGCCAATTTAGTACTGCGCGTATATTCATAAAGTCTGTGTACCATAGAGGGAATTTCATAACAATTAGCATGAAAGTATTTATAAAAATAAAATGACACAGGTAAACGATATTACGGTGATGAGAAAAAGAGTGATGCAGAGATGTCAGGTCAGGACCAATAATATTGCAGATTCTTTTGATTTTTATCAAGAATTCATTAATATATAGCAGGGGCATCAGACCAGATGCAGCAAAAAAATATTCAATGGAAGGACGAACGATAGAGTTATAAATATGTAAGAAAACTAAAAAAAAAAAAATGCATAAAAAAAATCAATGGAAATAGTTTTCGACACACGCCACCGACCTAAGTACAAAATTCTCACGTTTTGTTTTATGGTCAGATTTTCTTTTAGTATCACTTATAATATCTGTCTCAGACTATTTGTTTCTATCTCTCTGAGTGCGTGGTCGTGTGAATGGTGTGGAAGGTTAGTGGTCAAAACAACTGGAAATATTAAGAAATGATTGATCATTTAGTGAACAGCGGACGTTTCTTTATTTTCTCGCATGCGTATATATATATTTCGGAATTTGACCATGAAACATCAATATTTCAAAATCTCTTCGAATTAGTACCCTTGGGTATGTCTCTCTCTCTCTCGTTTTCTCCCACACAAATTCAGGAGCTTTTGCGAAGCGAGAAAAGCAGATATTGTTGATCGTACTCAAAACCCGAGTGATTCTCTTATCACAGTCGAGTGTATAAAATACAAAACAACACGCTCCATTTAAGTGAAAGCATTTTCCCGTGCGGCCCGAATCTGATTATCAGTCAAATGTCGTCGAGCACAATTGCATTAGATTTTCACAATCAGTGCACGCAGGCCTCAAAGACTCAACGATGGAATTGTTCAGTTGGAAAAGATGGGAAAAAACAATGTAAAAAAAAAAAAAAAAAATGTATAAAAAAAAAATTGAACTGAAAATTTTCTTTTCTTTTTTTTTGTCGACGAGATCGGAATTCAGTGGATTTGTTGTTATATTGAGATTCGTATTTTGCAGTTATTTTTTTGTTTTCTTAAATTTTGTTTCAGCCTTTAAAGCTACAGTGACAGTAGTGTGTTACACGACTGTTAATGTAGCATTTTTTCCCCATTCTACTCATTGTGATGCGTTAATTTTTTGTTTGTTTGAAGAGCTCCTGTATGTTTTTTTTTAAACTTATTTAATGATGTACATATGGGATCTTTCGAGGATCCTTGCTCTTCTGAAAATTTTAAAGAGACAGTCGTTGGATTCTCCTCTATTAGGGTCTGGCAAAAGTGTTTTCCTTTTTACGTAGTTAAGAGTTCCAAATTTAGATCATTTTCTTTTTATAGGAAGAATAATTGTTAATATATTTATTTCAAATTACTGTTCTCATCATGTAAATATCATTATAGAAAAAATGTTTCGGGAAAGACACACCAGCCATCATCAGGTGTCTGTACGGCTGAAAAGATACGCATCCATTTAAAAAAAACCCCCAAAAACATTGTCACTCCATGCAAGGCAGTAAAATCACTAAGACACAAACGGGGGTTACAGGGTGTTAAAGAATTAGGACCAGTAACATTAATAATGAGCGGGAAGAGGAAAGAGTAATCATGAGGACAGTAAATAGCGATTGACATTGCATTTAAATTTCTGCAGAATAAAGTTGGTTGGAAAGCATGGAGCCAGAAAGAAATTCCACAAACCAGAATTGCGAGAGTAGAAACTTAGCATAGAATTTACGACTACATCTAGCCAGCTTAACTGTGAAGTTATGAGACCTCGTCTAGTCTAGTGCTGCACTTAAATTAAAAAAAAAACTCTAGGTACCATCGCGAAATGCTCATCCGAACAAATATAATGAAAGTATTTATAGGAAAGGCACAGAGAAGCAACTTTACAGTTAGTGGTGGGGGGGTTACAGAGGCTGAATTGCTATTATATTGCAGCTGGTTCTTTGAATTTTTCTCGCGAGATAAAGGTAGCACTTTGTTTAGTAAAAATTCAGTCCTTGTTGGTGAGATGAGAGTGCCTCTGAGGGTCACAGATCTAGGTAATGGTATATGGATGCCGTTCACTTCCCAGATTACATGACCCACAAAATCAAAATTAATATTTGCCTGATATGAGGTATCTTGTTTATGATGTTAAAAGAGAAAAGAAACAAGAAAATTGATAAAACGACAACGAAAAGAAAAAAAAAAAAAACGAAAAGAAAAACGACAACGAAAAGAAAAACGACAACGAAAAAAGAAAAAAAGACAACGAAAAGAAAAAAACGACAACGAAAAAGAAAAACGAAAAAAAGAAAAAACGACAACGAAAAGAAAAACGACAACGAAAAAAAAAACGACAACGAAAAGAAAAACGACAACGAAAAGAAAAACGACAACGAAAAGAAAAACGACAACGAAAAGAAAGAATACGCCAAAAAAGAAAAGAAAAAAAAACGACAAAAAGAAAAGAAAAAAAGAAAAAATACGACAAAAAAAAAAAAAAAACGAAAAAAGAAAAAAAAAACCAAAAAAAAAAAAAAAAAGAAAAAAAAAGAAAAAAAAAAAAAACGACAAAAAAAGAAAAAAAAACGACAAAGAAAGAAAAAAAAACGACAAAGAAAAAAAGAAAAACGACAAAGAAAAAAAGAAAAACGATAACGACAAAGAAAAAACGACAGAAGAAAAAAGAGGCGTGACCTTTTACTAATCAGTAGTAAAGAGCATTTGAAATTATTAGTTGATGACAAAAGTTACCACAGACAAATATTCGGTGACTTAAGAAAGGAAATGAAATTGTCACAAGCGAACACGCTAGTCAAGAACGTATTCGTTAATGTTTTTGATCGATTAATTTTTTATCCTTTGAACGCGTCAAGTAAACGGTTAAAAGAAACGCACCCTGTCATCAACAGAAGTTAACGCTGCTGCACGCACAAAATATCTTTGTTCTGATCTGTTACCAGGACAACCACTTAATGATGTTTGCTGAAGATGAAACTATATTATTCTTCACAAATTGCTCATTTCTAAAGATCGCATGTTAAAATTACATCCCGAAGCCTTTACGTTCGTCGGAAACTTTACCATAATATTTTTTTTTCGCCTCGCGCGCAATAAAAGGTAATATTAAAGTCAGTTGAAATCAAGTGAAGACAATTTAGTTCTTGGTCGTCAGTGAATGAAGAGAAAGCTAATCACCAACGATTTCTGTTTAGTCTTACTCGACTGGTTTCGTAGAGTTAAGGATTGATCGACCGCTTGTTTGAAATAATTGCGTAGTACACCCTAACCTCCAGAGCCAGAGGTCAGTGTGCCTGAAATATAGCTCAATAGTTACATCTATTTTCTAGCTGTCGCCTTCTCTCATACAAACACGTACTTCTTTCTTTGTATTATGTATACTGTAAATTCAAATATAACCAATTTAACACCGGGTGAACATCAGTGTCTGTATTGCTACACCGATAAGTCTAGAATATTGACCCCTGCTTACGTAGTTCGTCTGTTCTGACTGGCGTGTGATGCTTTCTGACGAGATAACTTCAATATGCTATAAAATGTCCGAAGTTTCCTTCACGCAACAAAACCATACACTCGTGTATTATTTTTATGTTAATTTTAATTCATTTTTAAACTTTAAAAATTCTTTAAGTCTGACTTCGATTTTGTCTTCAGGACCTGGACGATCATATCAGTGGATGACTTCTTATTATCTACTTATTATCTACTATTCCTTTGCAGAAATTCGTTCGTCAGGTTACAGACCGTTTTCCTTGTCTCTTCACTTTTAACTTCATCCTGTGAGTGTCAATCTTTCTCCTTGTTATATAGAAATAAAAGGAATTTGCAGACACTGGAATTTGAACATAGATCACCAGTGAGCAAACAGAGGCGATCCCATTATTGAATTTAGTAGACCACGTGACCATAGACGAAACTCATATATGTAGGAAGTAGCTGACGACTAACGATCCGATTCTATCCTCTATACTATACCGATTGCTATTTCTGTTCTATCCGCTATTATTATACGGACCGCTATTCTCTACTCTAGTCACTATACGGTGGCTACTTTCCAAGCGAGTATTATCGAGCAAGTACTATTAGTGAGAGTGCTATTCGAAGTTGTCTGACACCAGCATTGTTCAACGGCGTTAATATAATTGTATCTCCGATTAAAAAGTCTCTACTACAACGAGCATTACGAAAGTGACAACGAGTATTCGTTGACATCACAAAAAACCCTAATTTTGTATCCTCCAAATTTAAATTCTTTGATTCAAAGTGTATGTGTTCTTTTCGTTTGTAGTTTTCTTAGAACTTCCTAATTGCTTACATGCTCCGTCTATGGTATTCTCAGCATCTTTCTATACAACTACATCGTCGATGCATCAAGTCTGCTCTTGATCTGGGTTTACGGCCATATAACCTTGAAACACCGGTTCCCGTACGATCACCGAAGTTAAGCAACATTGAGCCTAGTCATTACTTAGATGGGCGATCGCTTAAAAATACCAGGTATTGTTAGCTTGAATGTGCAGGTGGTGCAATGGATAATGGCTCGAAATGGCCAAATTCAATTACAGTTATATAAATTTACTTGCAAATAAACTTGGACATGGTAATCAGTCTTCTATTCGTCCACCTCTTCTCCCCCAACTATGGGTTAACTAGTAAAGCTTACAAAAATAAACACACACACAACACAAACAAAAACACACACAAACACAAACAAAAACAAACAAAAACAAACACAAATAAAAACACAAACACAAACAAAAACACAAACACAAACAAAAACACAAACACAAACAAACACAAACAAAACAAACACAAACAAACAAAAACAAACAAACAAAAACAAACAAAACAAAAAACAAAAAAAAAAACAAAACAAAAAAACACCAACAAAAAATAAACACCAAAAAAAACAAAACCAAAAAAAACAAAAAAAATAAAACAAAAAAACAAAAACAAAAAAAAAACACAAAAAACACAAAAACACAAACAAACACAAAAACACAAACAAACACAAAAACACAAACAAACACAAAAACAAAACAAACACAAAAACAAAACAAACACAAAAACAAAACAAACACAAAAACAAAACAAACAAAGAAAAAAAAAAAAAAAAAAAAAATAAAAAAAACACAAAAACACAAACAAACACCAACAAAAACAAACACCAACAAAAACAAACACAAACAAACACAAACACAAACAAACAAACACAAACACAAATAAAAATAAACACAAATAAAAATAAACAAAAATAAAAATAAACAAAAATAAAAATAAACAAAAATAAAAATAAACAAAAAAAAAAAAAATAAAAAATAAAATAAAATAAAAATAAAATAAAAAAAATTGCAATATTGCCTAGGAGATATTTAAATTTCGGCATTAAATGATGCTGATATGCCGCTAAACAAAATCAAACAACAGACCCCAGAAAATCATGTTTTTGTATAACAGTTTAGTCTTTTGAAGCTATATTTTGCTATTTCAACAATATTTCCAATTGCAGTGACGCATGTTCCTTTTATTTTATTTTTAAATAGTTCCAAGTCATCCTTTTTGTTTTCGAATTGCTACCTGCCGTCTGTTTTCATTTCAATGGCCCGTGGAATTTTCCAACATCCCTAAATGTTGCCCACTATGAGATTTCCTACCACACTTAAATCAGTATTTGGGGTGCTCGTTCAGAAATATCTAAATTGTCAGTTGTAGGTCTTACCGGGGACCATCCTAGAATCGGGCTGCAGAATCACAAACAATGAATACTACGAAGTATAAGCAACTTGAGGACGTAAAAAAGAAGAGAAGCAAAAACTAAAATGGATATCACACGTAAGTTGAAGAGAAAATAATGACAATCAAGATAATGATGTTCTATAATAATTCAAACAAATTATCAGGGAAGAAATCGACATCACTACTACATACTGGAAAGAGCGCTAACAATTTACCTGAGAGAACTATTTTCTTGAAAACATGATTTTAGAAGATTTTATATATTCAACTGGCTGGTTTGTCAGTAAGTGTTGAATGTTACTTTATAAAGGGGATTGCAAATATTACCATAATGGTTAGAAATTAAATTAAATGAACTCAACCAGGCGCGATGGCCTGACACTGAAGAAAAACATAATCCCTAGTTGTACTTGCTGCTCGGTCAATGAATGTCGAATTTCTGATAAGGAAATGACTAATATTTTCATTACCATTTTAAAGCAAAAAGACAGTATGGCTGATGCTAACCTCCAGGAGAGTGATTCATTGCACTTTCTCGGACGAATGTTTTCCATGGCATGGAATGTAAGGATTATATTGAAACATTTGCTACGTCTGTTGCTAGGAAAGTAGAAGTACTAGACAATCTTCTCTAGCCAGAATTCACTTCAACGTGGAAGAGAAGGGAGTAATATGAAGGACAGTAAATGGCGATTGAAATTGCATTTTGTTATATAAGAATAATGTGTCGCCACCGACAATGGAGTTTGAACACAGATCAGCAGAGGACAAACACGGCGATCCCATTTTGAATAAGTCGATCACGTGATGATAAAGGAAATGTATATATGGGAATTAGCGTGGTGCGTAAGCGATCACTCTACGGATTACTATTCGGTGGTTAATTTCTAAGTGAGTATTATCGAGCAAGTACTATTAGTGAGAGTGCTATTCGAAAGCGTCTGACACCAGTATTGTTCAACGGCGTTACTATAATTGTATCTGCGATTACAAAGTCTCTACTACAACGAGCATTACGAAAGTGACAACGAGTATTCGTTGACATTACATCAGTGGCATCGAATGTTCGTTGACATCGCAAAACATTTAAATGTTTGCAGATTGAAGTTGGCTGTAAAGCAAGGCGCCGGAAGAGAGTTTCCTAGACGAGAAAAGAAACAGTTAGCATAGAATTTCTGGTTACATCTTGTCATCTGAACAATAAATTGATGAGATCTGGACGCCAGTCTAGTGATAGGCTTAAATTCAAAAAGTCTAAGTGCCATAGCGAATTGATTATCCGAACAATTACCATGAAAGTATTCATGAAGAAGACACAGAGAGGCACCATTATGGCAGTGAGTAAGTGACCGAGGCAGAGAGGCAACATTATGGCAGCGGGTAAGTGACCGAAGCAGAGAGGCAACATTATGGCAGCGGGTAAGTGACCGAAGCAGAGAGGCAACATTATGGCAGCGGGTAAGTGACCGAAGCAGAGAGGCAACATTATGGCAGCGGTAAAAGACCGAAGCAGAGAGGCAACATTATGGCAGCGGGTAAGTGACCGAATAAGAGGGCAACATTATGGCAGCGGGTAAGTGACCGAAAGAGAGGCAACATTATGGCAGCGGGTAAATTTGACCGAAGCAGAGGCAACATTATGGCAGCGGGTAAGTGACCGAAGCAGAGAGGCAACATTATGGCAGTGGGTAAGTGACCGAAGCAGAGAGGCAACATTATGGCAGCGGGTAAGTGAACGAGGCAGAGAGGCAACATTATTGCAGTGGGTAAGTGACCGAGGCAGAGAGGCAACATTATTGCAGTGGGTAAGTGACCGAAGCAGAGACACCGGATCACGACCAGTAATATTGCTAATTCTTATTATCAAGGAGCTCAGAATAAATAGCAGGGGTACTGGGCCACGTCTGTCAGCACTATTCTAAGCATGGATGTAGTTTCACCTGATTTTCTATAAATATTTTCACGGCAATCGTTATGGCGAGCATTTTTATTTTGTACCACGACGATTCAAATTTTCACGTTGGTGACCTGTTACTTGTGCGTCCATCTTTCTTTTTTTTCTTTTGCTAATGATATAACCAATGAGTCACTCTCCTGGAGGTTAGCATCAGCCATACTGTCATTTTGCTTTAAAATGGTAATGAAAATATTAGTCATTTCCTTATCAGATATTCGACATTCATTGACCGATGAAAATCAGTAAGTTTGGAAAATTCAAAGTATTAGGTAGAAATAAATGCCGACACTTGAGTTTGAACATAGATCACCAGTGATCAAACACAAGCAATCCCATTATTGAAATAAGTAGACCACGTGACCATAGAGGAAACGCATAAATAGAAAGTAGCGTGACGTCTAACTGATCGCCATTCCTAGTCTATCTATTACTATTCGGATCTGCATTTCTGCTATCCTCTATTACTATACGGACCTCTATTCTCTATACTGATCCCTATACGGTGGTGACATTTTGAGCGAGTATTATCGAGCAAGTACTATTAGTGCGGGATTATTCGAATGCGTCTGACACTAGTATTGTTCAACGGCCTATTATAGTTGTACTTGCGATTATTAAGTCTCTAAAACAATGAACATTACGAAAGTGACAAAAAGTATTCGTTGGCATCACAAGACAAAAACAAGAGAAAATCCCATCCTGAGGACGGAGTAACAGGATCAGTCTTGGGATCATGTGATTATATTTAAAAAAAAAAAAAAAAAAAAAAGCAACAAACAAAAGACTAAAAAAAAAGCAACAAACAAAAGACTAAAAAAAAAGCAACAAACAAAAGACTAAAAAAAAAAAGCAACAAACAAAAGACTAAAAAAAAAGCAACAAACAAAAGACTAAAAAAAAAGCAACAAACAAAAGACTAAAAAAAAAGCAACAAACAAAAGAAAAAAAAAAAAAGCAACAAACAAAAAGACTAAAAAAAAAGCAACAAACAAAAGACTAAAAAAAAAATTTAACAAAAAATTTAAAAAAAAAAAAAAAAAAGACTAAAAAAAAAAAAAAACAAAAGACTAAAAAAAGCAACAAACAAAAAACTAAAAAAAAAGCAACAAACAAAAACTAAAAAAAAAAGCAACAAACAAAAAACTAAAAAAAAAGCAACAAACAAAAAAGACTAAAAAAAAAAAACAAACAAAAGACTAAAAAAAAATAACAAAAAAAAAGACTAAAAAAAAGCAAAAAAAAAAAAGACTAAAAAAAAAAAACAAAACAAAAAACTAAAAAAAAAAAGCAACAAACAAAAGACTAAAAAAAAGCAACAAACAAAAGACTAAAAAAACAACAAACAAAAGGCTAAAAAAACAACAAAAAAAAGACAAAAAAACAACAAAAGGCTAAAATCAACAACAAAAGACTAAAAAACAACAAAATCAAAAACTTAAAATAGCAAACAGAAAAAAAAACCATAAATAATAAAAAACTATAGACAAAGAAAACGAAAGAAAAAACAAAACATAAAATATTGAAATTGTCAATCTTCACTGACAATAATTCTAACCATAATAGTCTAGTCACTATCTTACTTTTAACGAGAAAGTTGTTGAATGAAATGAACTGAAAGGATGTACCAAGACGTTCCCTGATGTCTGCTGTCAATAACGTTTAGTCACAGGCAGCTTATGGAGATCAAGAAGTAAAATAAAACGACCTTGTGTTCTACATTAGATACCGTGGGAATCTAATCCGCTGACTAGCTTCCAGTTTTACAGTTCGGTTGGCTTTTCATTTTCCCACTTTCGCTCGCAGCAGAACAGAT